TGTGTGCTTTCGAGGGCACTTGCTCCACCAAGCCCCAACTTTTGGGATCCCTAGGGATATAAAGGCCTTGGGCCTTTGGTCAAAAAGAGTGATATCCTTTTACCTTCCCTCTTTACACTGGTAGTGGGAGACACGCCACATACTGGATGTGTCCCAAACTGCCGTCTAGGATGTGTCCAAGGTACACAACCATTTCTGCTGTGGGGTCCAACAAACAACAATTTTGTGCCCATGGCATGTGCACTGATGGGGTTCTCCTGACAAAGAAAGACTATATGAAACAATGAGATACATGTAGCAACAACAATAGCAATCGATGTGTAATGATGTGTAATTAATTATTAAACTTATCTGAAGTATAGTATCTATTTGCCTCAACCACAATGGACACATGCACATGAACAATTAGAAGTCAAATACAGCTGCAGGTGGCGACTTGCCTTGTGCACACATGTAGTGTGTTTCTTCTATCCGTTGCATCTTGCATTGTCAGGGAGCCTACAGTATCCGGTATCGAGACCCTCAAGGCAAGCCAAAAAACGGTCAATCTGCCGAGCAGTCTACCGTGCATATGACCTGCTAGGTCATGTTCTCCAACATGATGTTTCCTTCCAGGACACTTGCTTGAAACTAGAACTCACAATTTTTAGTGTTTAATCCTGCTCTACAGTCCCCACAGAATTACAACATAGCCCTCACGTGGTTTTGCAAGGGCAATCTATTCAATCTCGGAAACACCAAAGACACCGGACCAGCAACGCAAACCGACACCGGACAAGGTGAGTACGCCGACGCCGACGCGGGCCACTGTGCAGACGAAAAAAGACATGCCTGCAAGCACACTGGTGCCATCCCTGCCTCATCCAAGACCACTTGAAGCAGCTCGGGCGCGCCCTCAGCCTTCGTTGAACAAATGGTGCAGAAGCCGGTGAAGCCGTGAATTCACGCCACCCTTCTGAAAGAAGTTGAAAGGGTTTCCACCCTCTTGGACAAAGGTTGAAGGGGTTTTGCCTTTTCCACCCACACATCTTCGTGTCTAATGAAAAACTGTCGTCAGATCCCCTCAATCAATCATTCGATCGGAATGGCGATGCACCCGGGGCGACGCCACGTGCACCTTCGACCTTCGCCACGGTGCACCGGTGCACACCGGTGCGGCACCTGCAATGCGGCGCTCAAACCGCCGCGTCGTGCGGAGATGCAGGTGGCGAAGACCACATCTGCACGCTTCAACTCGGCACACCGTGCGGCACTGAGAGCCAGGTAGTACCTGCCGTTGGAACTGCATCCATTTGGTGTGGAAGCTTTTAGTATACTATATAATATACATATACATATACATATATACTGTATATATACATAATATATCGACGAGGAAGCTATTATAAACTATATTGTTCACAAACGGTCTACCCAGCTCAACAAAACCACGTCAGTTTTCTAATTCGAAAGAGGGCTCACATGGGACACTCTGATTTCAGGATCACCTCCTCAGTCATGTCCCGACCCCTCACCGGTCGTCAACTTATGTCCAGCCAGAGGGCCTATGGGGATGTAGCAACAAAGGATCATATCAATCATCCTCCTTTGTGCAGGTCCCATTGAAAATGCCGGAGTGTTTGAAAGGCCTATTAAAGCAGGTGCAAAGCTATATCCGAAAGACATGGAATGGAGACCCCACATTCAGTGCTATAGTGATGCTATAGTAACGATCTTGATGAATTGCAAAGGTATCGCCACCATCAGAGAGGTCCCCCTGCATTTGTGAGTTACACGATATCCGGGTTATACAACACATACACCAGAGTTGGAAGAATCTATTAATTTCTAGTGAGATTCTGAACGTTCAGAAAGCTTGCTGCACAGTGAAAAGGTCGTTTGCAGAATCTCGTCATCACTCCTGTGCCACAGGATGTTCCACAGCAAACAACAGTTGAAATTCCTCATGAATGAGTCTGACTGGCTTGGAGATTTCAAAGTTCCAGAAACTGTAGTGGGACCTTCGTTTGGGCCGAAGATAGGCTTACTCCCTTTGATGTGGAGTTCCTCCCCAAAGCTGACTGCCAGAGGCAGACTATTTTTCTTCAACTTAGGACACCTCCAAAGGTTTTTGAGCAGCGCTGCTTCCTCATGCATGGAACCCGTGGGTTTCCGGAAGCTCTTCGGCGGGCACTCCATGCGGAGCTCATCGAAGTGAGGGCTGTCCAAACCGGCCTGCAACCTGGGGAGGGTGGAGGAAGCCCTGATGCCGCATGTCCCTTTGGTCAGCGTATATCTCCGACGGAAACGTCCCAACTTCGGGTATGTCTCCGACTCCTCCCCGCCCACGAGTTCAGATGCCATCGACTGGTCCAGAGGGGGAGTTTTGGGTTGCGAAATGAAGTTGGATCAACTGCTGTCTCCAACAGCTGTCTCTAACAACGTCGGGTTGTATCAAGGGAGCTTGGCTTGATGTTTTCCATTCAGTTTTACATCAAGTTCCTGGTGCAACAGCAGGATCGACCAGGTGAACGAACTGTGATGGCGTGGAGGATCCATTGAAGATTTCAGTCTTGGGGCCTGTAGTAGTGTGAACCCCAACTTGGCACTGCAACACATAGGTGAGTCGATGTGTCTTTGAAACATAGGGAAAGCCTGGCCATTCCCGGCCTTTTGGATGGGCTCTGTCCCCCCCAGAGCTCTGGTTTTTCTAACTCCGCGACGGCGACCTGGAAAAGGCCTGGAACAGCTCGGCCCCTGCGACGTGAAAGGGACATGTATGGAAATGTCACATTTGAAGAACCTGGTAGCCTGGTTTGGTAGCCTGGTTCGGTCGATTTCCCATGATTTCCCATGGTTTGCATCACTAATGGTCAGTGCTACGAGGATGACAGATGCAGTCGTGATGGAAAACAAACAAAACCCAAAGGACGCAACACAACCCAAAGTCCACACACGGCACCTTTCGTGGGGTCGAGTGCTTCAAAAACAATCTACGCCATCTACATCTTATACAGTGGTAACTACTAGCACCACCCAGTTCGGGTGTATAAATAGATCCCATACTTTTCCATTCAATAACCACCCTTTTGGTGCTGGTTAGTGGTATTATCATGAATGCAGGGACCCATGTGCCTTTCACAAACTGCTCAAATCTGGAAGAAAGAAACAATGTGGTAAATATACTATATGCAACAACAAATAACAATATTATATAGATACACCTAGAGCCAAAACATGACCTCTGTTTTGATAGGACAAAACATGACAAAACAAGATTTTGGGTTGCTGATGATCCAAATAAAGGTCACTCAGGCATAGTCATTTGCGGCGGATGTTTTCACCACACATGGGCCGCTTCTCCAAGTGGCATCCGTTCATAAGCCATGCCCGCTTCCAAGGACTCTTGGGTCGCTTCCACGCCTGTGTTCGCAGGTTCTGGGTGACTCCCGACAAACCCAACGATAAGACATTTTGAGGTTCACCACAGTTGGTACACAACGGAATTAATGAATAGTTTGAAATTATAATTCAACCCCGTATATGAAGAGTTTTTACCATCCATATGGGAGTTTTATGGGAGTTTAAGTATCAACAGTTCGACATTTCGTGTGCAAAACAGTTAAATCCCAAATCCGATCCACTCTCCACCTGGGACACAACGTCCAGTTGGGATCCAAAGAACCATCGAAAACCAAATCAAAACCGCTTGACATCGCTTAGACCGTCGACGATTCGTCTGGAGACGGTGATCCTGGCAGGCTATGAGTAAGTGATCCAAATCAAACCCTATAGCGGACCAGGATCATTGCAGCCTCACAACAAAAATCTATCTATATATATAGTAACTACAAATGGTGTCATGCACATCCTCATCCGCCCATCCCAATTGGCGTTGTTTTACTTTCTCGTTCGCACCCGTCCCCGCCGGGCGCTAAACCATGACAACGCCAATGGAGTGCAAAGGGCCGCATGGCCTCGCATGTTTTCAACGACCTAGGGGGATCCAGACCATCCGACTGGAAGAGTTGCTTAAACCTTCACTTCGTGACCTCAAAAGGTTTGGGAGTCTCCAGTTTGAGCTCTTTAGGGACGAGTCGTGACCGCAGGATAATCTCAAGGAGGGTCACTTTGAAGGTCGGAAATGAGAAACGTACCTACTCCAGATATATAGGAGGAGGAGGGTCACTGTACCTACTCCAGATCGGGCCAGACCTTTCATGGCCCACACCTCGGGTCAGCGCCGATTCAACTGACACTCAACACGTGAACCGATTCCGGTAAACTGGTTTTGGAGCGGCTTTGACCGACAAGTAAGTGAAACTTATCCTGAAACTGAAGCCAACAGCCATGAATTCGTCCACAGGTCTTCATAATGATTAACTGTAAGGGTGTATCAGTATCATCCACGCCAATCCCTCATACCCCGTGCCTTACCCCGTCAGGGTACCCCTGGAAAATTGTTCATTATTCCGCTATACCTCGACCTCACTTCGTGAAAATTATTCTGACCGTGGTGAGCTGTTTGGAATGATAATTGCACTTCTTGAAAACGTTCAATGCATGAGGTCTGCAAAACCGGTTACATGTGGCCGTGATATACATAAATCCAAAGCCATATATAATTCCCAAAACAACATCCAACGTACGCTGAGTTGCTTTGCCTTTCAGCGGCAGTCCAACATATTTCTGGTAGTATCTCAATGATGAAACCCACAATAATAACTAATAACTAGATGTGAGCTCAGCACCCAGGATGCCCTTCCCGGTCCTCGGTCCTTTCATCTGGCGCCCCCATCTCCCATCCCCGCGTACCGCCCCCCTCCGCGTGGCTACCGCGTGCCTCGGCCACGCGGCGCACCTTGCGCGGCTTGGCGCTGGGATGATCGATGCGCTTCGGCACCTCGCTCGGCGCTGCGGCCGGTCGGGGGTCCGGTCCGAAGGGTCGGTGGGGATGGCGGCAGTTGGGGGTTGATGATCCTGGTCTCATCCTGTGAAGGGGTGTCCTGCAAGGCTTCTTAGGTAACTGGAAACAACAAGTAATTAATGGATCTTTTGAAGAAACCATGAGATGACTAAGAGAATAATACATCCTACACAATCTGCACTCCCCATACCCTTCCCTCAATCCAGAAAGCCGTCAGGTACAAAGTCAGGGTCCTGCCTAATTATACTCTAGGTAGAGGACACACCATCGCTTGCTGTCCGAATTGTGGGTCAATCCTTTCCAAACTGATTAGCTTTTCCAAACTTCTTCTGCACTCAGCCCGCATCTGCTGCGCATGTACGCACAGCACAGCAGGCCATCTCGCCACTCTGAAGCCATCTCGTCCATTCTGAGATCCTCTGACATCCATATGGAAAATCCACCAAAACCCTCCAACACCTCCGCAGGGAAGCCGGGAAGCCCCCCGTCCCAAAAAACTCCCCGTCCCACGCGGGTGGCACAGGGAAGTCGCCCCGTTCCATCTCGGCGCTATAGACCCGGAGCGCCATAAGGCCTCGACGTCGAGGCTTCCAAGCTACTAGCGAGGGCCTCCAAGCTACTAGCGCCTACTAGCGATGGCCTCCAGGACAGGACAGGATGGTTTGGGCTCCGGAGACTGCTGAATGGAACCGGGACACACAAAAGAATACATCTCCTAGAAGGGAATTGTATAGGGGATAATGAAATAACATCACCTGAAATAATCATAGGGGATAATAAGGAAACAAGAAAACTATAGGGGATAATAACATATAATAACATCACCTGAAATCTGCAACACCAAACAAAAGAACAGTACACACTCTGGGTGCTCCGCTGTGCCCCCGCCTCCTTCTGGCCGCCTCAAGGGTCGCCGGCACAGGGGGCAGCCGCGGGTGCCGGCGGCTTGCGCCTGGCGTTCCCGACGATCGAACCCTCTATAACAGGAGTTTGGGGCCCCTCCAAACCCTTGCAACAAGGGCGCAAACATCCTGGGTGGATGAATCCAGGCAGCATGCACTGCCATGAATCATGGCATGGCGGACGTTTTTGGGGCCGAGCATGGACCTCCGACCTTTCACAGCAAGGAGGTCTTCCCAGGCACTGGGATACTTAGATGAAAGGTCTTCCCAGGCACTGGGCTGGTCTGGAGCAATATATACTCTTACCATCTCTTGCCAACTTCTCATCAAGATCTCGCGCTAAACGCTCACGCAAAAAAAACTTGTGAAGCATGTAGGATCCGCTTGGTGGTGTTTCAGACATGGAGTGTAGTCTACAACACAGTTGCTAAAGTTGTACTCAAACCTACTTGGGGTGGTGTCCAGTTGTTACTGGCATCCCTAGAGGCCAACGAGCAGTGTCACGAAGCACCTGTATCCGGCTGTGAGTCCAGTCGACGCCCCTGCCGAGCAGGCTGGTCCAGTCCTTCTCCAAGCAACTGCGATGGAAGTGATGGCCACACGCCTGGGTTGACGTGGCGGCGCGCATGTTTTTGTGTCTCTGAAAAGAAGCACTGTTCAAGACCTTTTTCACGCATTCATCACTGATGAGTCTCCCTTAGGAAAAAATAAGAAAGACCTTGAAGTTACTTGAAACAACACAAACCCATCAAAGACATGATACAAACGCAGAATCCTCGATGTCTCCAGGGTCTTGGGGTCTTGGCATCTTCTGGGGCCCAAGAAGAAGTCCCTGCCCACAGTTCGCAGTTCATGTTGGAGAAGAAACAAGTGAAGTGGAACCACTGGTGTTCATAATATGAGCACAGTCCGAAGCAAGTTTGAAGTTAGAGTTTTTTAGAACCACAGCAAGTTACAAAAGAACACCCAGCTGGGAACCCCACGTTAACAGTGTTGCTGTGTTCCCTACGTAAAAAGAGTCTCTGCATGAACGGACGACCCCAACCACGCTCACACAGTCAGACTGGTGCCCCCTCTATTCGCAGTCAGACGGGCACCGTAATGGCGTTGCAGCCTGTGTTGAAGCAAATGGCGCAATCGTCAGTGCCTCCGGCCTTAGGGGATGCCAACACCGCACCGCCCCGAACAACCTGCGTTATTTGCTGCGGTATTTCTTTGGGATGGAAGAAGGGGACCTGCATCTCCACGAAGAAATGCTGTGATTGTCAAGTCTTTTCATTATCAACTTGAATCTACTTCAGGATGACCAGTCTTCTTTTTCCAACCATATCATATTATATATATATGCTTCGTCATCCTTCCTTCTGCACGTCCCTTCAGTCCAGTGCATCCTGCACGTGCATTTGCTGCACCAATCATCCAAAATAGAAACATCCTTTCATCGAGCCGAATACAAGCCCTGATTACAAGCCCCCTGGAAGCTGTGAGTGAGCTTGAATTCGGAATACACCCCCCTTGATCCCAGTGAACTTGATCCGAGAACGAACAGCCAGGCTGCTGCCAGGACCTCTTGCCTCCTCCGCTGACTCAAGGCTTGAAAATGCTGGGACGAGCTCACAGCCACCCGCAAACAGGCCACGTCCGCAGCATCGTTGCTAGGAGTGCAATACCTCAGAGTGCTCACTCAGTCATCGTCAGCGGTGCCTTCCGACGGAAGCGGCGTCTTCAGGAGTCATGTTCGACGCGGGTGGTGTGAAACGTCCCATCCAGTGAGTGGAGTAGCTGGGCACCTAACCTCCTTCCTCCATGGATCGCATGTCGAACGTGACTGCCAGTCCCATGTGTTGCTCAGTCCCATGTGTTTTTGGCATCTTTGGAACCGCATGAATCGCCCAATTTCACCCATCAGAGCCAAGTTGCAAGACTGCAGCGACCTCACCCTTGTCCAGATTCGAGAGCGCATAGAGGACACCTGGGCAACGCTGTGCCACCAAATGGGTCTCACTCAGCCCCCCGGGCTTTGAAGATCTGCGTTCCTCTAAGCACATGGACGTCACTGAGTGGAGTTGAAGACCAGGAAAATGGGAATCACTCGAACCTGCATGTCGGTTTCAGCTCCAAATTTGTCTTGTTCTCTTGTGCAACTCGTCAAAGTCCCCTCCGCGGAACTGCAACGGATTTAGTTATACCTACAATGAGCCGAGCCTAAACTCAATCCCTCAGTTTCCCTTGAACAACAACAGGTTATATATATAACATTATATAACCATGCATAAGTTCTATCTGTTTTGCTTGTCACAGCAGGGTATTCTGGTGAAGCCATCGAAACTCTGGCCAGGTTAGCCAAAAAGAACACAAAATCAGGTCAAGACAACGGTTAGGCATCCCCGGAATCCGCCAAAAAGGTGAAAGGTGATCCACTGACTGGGTAGGTCACTGGAGTACTACAAACTGCTTCCAGTCGCGTGAATTTTCTGGGACGTGGAAGAACAGACGGACCAGCCGCGGGTTACGCGGGACCCGCTGGTCGGGGTGGTGCGGGGAACCGTGGTGCGTCCAGCCGTTGAGGACTGGAGGACTGGTTTTCAGGTCCTGGAAGCTTCAAGTGCTTCAGCTTGACAAATACCAAGGTGTTGACAAATACCAAGCGTGTTTCTATAGCTGGTTTTGCTCGCTGGTCCGATGGGGAGAAGAAGCTCATAATGTAGACTTCAGAGCAAAATCCGCTCAGGTCCCTACAGGGTATCGAATCCTCCTCCAAGATTCTCAAGTTTCAATGTTCAAGGATCGAAGGATCGATTTATCTGAGTCACCTGTCTCAACCATTATACTGCTCCGATCTAAACCTTCACATTCTGCACACCTAAACCACATGAGAAGTTTTGCACTCTGTTGGAGAAAGGTCCTCTAGCCATGTCTAGCCTCCTCATCTTAAGAATCGAAAGCACCAGTCTGCATGCCCCCAACCAAGCTGAGCCCGCCCAGCTGGGAGCTGAGCCTACCCACCCACCGAGCCACACAGCGCTGAAGCCGTGGTGGTCTTCCCAGTGCCCGGCGGACCGTGGATCAACGACAACTCCTCCTGGTTTCACACCGAGACCGATCGAAGCTGAGGCGACGCGACGCGGGGTACGTTCACAACGGTTTCCAGTGGATTTGATGATCAGGATGTCTCGCAAGGGTGTGTCTTTTTTTCGATACACTTCTCCACACATCTCTTGATTTCTTTAGCAAAAGTGTTGAATGATGGGATCATGAACCAGCCATGTCCGTGGGCAAGTGTCAAGTACAAGTATGTTGGATGTCTGATGATTTCTGGGCATGGAAACATGCATCTTTGCCGAAGCTAAGGTGCTCGGCAGATTCTCATCATATTCAATCACCCGTTTTCTCAACATCTGCTCCTGCGTCTCATTTCCGTAACAGAAGCAGCTGCGCCAACACACGACTGTGAAATCCGAGTGGGTCCCACACCTTTAAGACAGGGACTTCTGTGATGTGTTTTTTTTCCTTTCTCAGACGTACAAATTGACACAACAAAGCTCACTGACCTGTGACCTGAGCATCCTCAAGCTTCCTGGACCTTGAAACAGTTCCAAGATGTTCCAAGTAAGAGCATGGCAACTCCATTGACATATGTATCACACTTGAACCCATCGTTCTCCTTTTAGGTTCCACATGAAAACCCATTGGCGCGCACCTGCAAAGCGCTTCGAACAGCCAATTCCTGTGGAGGATTGAGCTTCCAGGGCTTTAGATCCAAACCTGTCCACCCGCGCAGGAGAACCGTTGGCCCCATGAAGTCAAACGGTGACCCACTCAGAAGCGGTGAAGTATCAACAGCTGGATGTTCCAGCTTGTCCTGGACTGGCATGACATACCATTTCAAACGATGGTTTACACTATTAAAGAGAACAACACACCAGGTACATCTGATGGTACCTGTTGAGGATGGGTTTTAGCTTGGCAATATCCATTTACCAAAAGGAACATAAACACATGTGAATGGACGTTTGGATGGGACATTCCGCAACGTCCGCTTGCAATAGCATGGTGGGATAGCATCGCCTCTTTGAGTGTGTTTCCATCTCCTTGGACACGGGTACTCTACTCTGCAGTAGTAACAGTCAACTGGGTCAACCAATTTGGCACGGCATTTTGCCATGCAACACGTCCAAACATTCCAAACGTTGATACATCAACATGACGATTACCGCATCACAAAGAAGCTGGCTTGTGTGTGAACAGACCAACCCCCGTGAGAAACAATATCTCAAACGCCTGAAACAACCACATCTCCTCACCCCGCTCACATACCCAACGTTGGTCGGGCGTCCCACTCAATCCAACCGTCGGTCGGTATGTTGAGATGCCATGTTCTAGCATGTGTTTTGGGGATTCCCTGTAGCTCCTTGGCTATCCTTGGCTCCTGTTTAACAAAGATCCCCTCGTCCAGCACCAGCTTACACACCAGGGCTATCCTGACAATAACTACAAAGTTGTTGCTATTACAGTAATTAACACAGAAGAACATCATTGGCTGACATAAAACCCCAAATCGAGCTTAGGTTGCCGTGTTTTCAGCGCATGTCTAGTTAGGAATGCCTGGCCGGCAAGCAACACAGACTTGCAGATTTGACGATTTCTTGGAGAGCCTGCAGAAAATATGTTCCTTGATGTTCCTTGTATTATTAAACATCCAAATGTCCCACAGTTCCACAATGTTCTATACACTTGGCAGGCATGCTGTAGCTCAGCCCAGGCCTTTCAACTTTACGTCTCCTCCATCGGCATGCCACTCGCCCTAGCAACGTCTTGCACACAGACATGTGGACGGTCAATATTTCCGTCAACATTTTCCCATGTGAGGGTACGTAGCTGCGGGGGATGGACATGCAAACATGAAACGCAGTCCTCGAATCCTGGCTGGCAGTGCCTTCGTTGAGAAACTGGCAAGCTAGTACAACAAGCAAAGCGTCCCATGAATCAAACCTTTCTCGAAATCTTGGGTGATCTTGGGCAAGTTATTTGGCTGCGGCTTGATAGATGTCAAACCACTGGCACTCTTCTTTTTTGTGGGAACCTCCATCACTCAGCGAAACCCATGTACAGCATCTTCCAGCGGTCGTGGTCACTCGTCCGGAACACCTGGAGCCCTGGGAGAAAGCGAGCGGACCAAAGGCCAGCAGAACAAAGGAAAACAACTCGCCTCGGCTTGGAGCCTCTTTGGCCTCTGTGGCGCACGAGCCTGCAGGATCACCTGAAGCAAGCGGGTGAGAGGTTGGAATTAGTGGAAGGTATAGTACCTGAAGATCATGCTTTTGGGGGGAGGGGGCTGAGGGCTGGGGTATAGAACTTCACAAAGTGGAGAAACACCAAGCTGGAGGGCAGGAGACCTCATTGAGAGCAATCTGGTCTTTCACTTGAAGTAACCATCTCTTTCGCTTGTACCCTCTGTCACAAGGGGATGTGACCGCCTCGTTTCAGCTCCGCGCCTCGCGCAGCAACTGGGAGGCGATGCTCAGTTCCGCCAAAGCCACTGCCATACAGCCTCGCCCGCAGGCGCGCGCGAACGCGACGACGCGCTCCCTCTCTGCTTCGGCCTTTCGGGTCCCGGTGCCGCGTTTGGGTTCGGCCGGTGCGGGTTCTGCGGGTGTTTCTGCAGGTTCTAGAAGGATGTTCCTCTGCCAAGCGTCTGTAGGGCAAGGACTTGGGGATGAATTCCACGATGTAGCCGGATTTCCTGGCTGAACATTGCGTTTCAGGTTGAGGAATGCCTGTATGGAGATGAATCTCGTCCGAAGAGCCCCAAAATCAGCGGTATAGGTAGGTGAAGAGATTTCAGAAGCGAACGTTGGAACAGCTTCCAAAACCGAAAAGAATCCATAAGTGCTGAACTACAAAGGAGTTCCGGTCGTATCATTTGTTCCCCTCGTGACGCCCCCGCGTCGTCACGACGCGTGAGATCACGTGAAGGCTGCGGCAAAACCGTCCTCTGCCCAGGCTTTGGGGCAGCATCCGAAGCACCGGGGATCAGCTTGAAGGTCATTCCTGACCCAGACCATGGAATAGTCACCGACATTTGGAGTCATCAATGGGATATATATGGTAATGATATGGTAATTATTCTCATGGGGAATGGGGGGGGGCTGAGGGGGGGGGCTATGGACCTTATGCCCAAGGCCTTTTGATATTCCTCACTTGGCATGGTCATTCCTTTCGCAGTGAGCAAAGTCGAACAAAACTGACCTTCAGACTTCGGGACCCATTTGGCATTCGTCGACTGAACGAGGCAGGTCACTGGCTGCGAACCTGGGAGAACATCTCTTTCGCTAGCGCAAGCGAGCTGGCAATCAAGGAACACATCATCTATGGTCCCTCAAAGGGTGTCTATTAATAGCCCGAGGCTAAGAGGTGGCTACCCACCCCGACCGTGGGTCCGGATACCTGTGAATTCTGTGAGCTTGCTTTTGCTAGTATCTCCGAGCAGACTCGTGTGGAACATGTGCGAACACATGGTAAGCTCAATGCATTGTCGAGTGGTCCATAGCCCTCTGTCGTGGGATGTAACATCATGAGTAACCACACAGAATACCTGCTGTGAACAATTAAGATTGCCTCCATCCCAAATCAACACAAATACAAGAGTCTCCGACTCACTGATTGGGAGACACTAGGAGGGTATCCCACCATGTGGAAAATTGGACATGCCCACTCGGACTCCGTAGAAAGCTTTGTCAGCCAAAGCATCGCAAAGACAATGTCTGAGGGATTTGAGCATCTTCTTCACCGACACTCACCTGTCGCTGCATGGATGACCATCTTTTCCCAACTTGTTTACTGAATAGCTAGTAGGTTGGGGGCCATCGCTATTAGGGGGGAGGCCATCGCTAGTAGGTTGGAGGCCATCGCTATAAAGTAGGTTGGAGGCCATCGCTA